TATGGTCTGCACTGTGGCCGGATTACAAACCTGTTGTATAAACAGAGATTGAAAATTCTAAAAAAAAAAAAGGATAACAAGAGCTTTCGCGTGGCTCGGGTCCTCCATAATCCTCTAACATCCATACATTTAATGCTTTTAAACTGAGGTTTAGCCTAGTTGCACTCCGCTACAGCTTCTATATAAGTGCTCTGAGGTCAAACGGGATGAGGACGCTGGAACGCACAGATCAGGTGGGTTGCGATGGCTTTCGTTTCACCAGAAGCATCGGTGAAACAATAATTCATAAACTCAGAAGGTGACTGGGTGCTAACCATCTTGACAGCATTAAACATCTCATCAGTGACAAGTGGGTTTGACTGGGAACAGTGAGCCTCTCAAACCAAGACGGCAAATTAATCTCATTTGCTCTTTCACTCTTTTCACTGAGGTAGCTTGCACGCAGATAACTTGGGATTATGAGAACTGGACAAAGACGAGTGTATTATGTAAGGGCTTTCAAAAGGGATGGAGGATGATTTCTTTTGGTGACAGTCAAAGCAATATCTTGAATCTGTGTAGTGGCTACATAATTGAACACCACCCTGCTGTTCTGAGGCAGTAATACTGGATTGTTTGATACAAATTATATACAAAAATAAAGTAAGTTTAAAAAAAACACTACACTATGGATTTCACTTTGGTCGATACAATATATATATATGTTGTTCTCAGTCTGTTTAAAGTGAATATAAACAGGTGTGATAAAATTAAATTAAAGGGGTGGTTGATTGCGATTTCACTTTTTTAATGTTAGTTAGTGTGTAATGTTGCTGTTTGATCAAACAATATCTGCAAATTTACGAAGCTGAAAGTTCAATGCAAACGGAGATATCGTCTTTTAAAATTCTGGCAGTTTAATGCCTACAAAAACGACTGGTAAGGGACTACGAGTTACTTCCCAGGTCCGTTACGTCAAGAACCCAGAATTTTACATAAACCCCGCCTCCGGGAACACGCAGCAAAGGGGGAGAGGCCATGCTGCGCTACTTTAGAGAAGAGGAAGAGAAAACTAGGGGTGCAGGTAAAAATCTATTAATATATGAATCACGATTCTGTCTTCTAATGATTCTAATGGATTCACAAGTTTCAAAATGTTCTAAAGCAGCGTTCTTATCCTGTTCCTGGCCTCGCCCTGCTCTGCACACCCTCTGCATCTCTCTCGCTCTCTCATTCAGATCATCAGCTCAGTGAATACACTTATTTTCACATACTATAGCTATGAGAAGCATTATACATGGACGCGTGCGTGTGGTTGCCGAACTGTATTAAAACTTTAATCAGAATAAAACCGTATATTAAAAGCTAACAGAAGCAGTAGCATTTACAAATAACAGCGTATCTAAAAGTATGAGACAACAAACAAAAATCTTAGGCCTTACATTAAAAGCCGTACTTGTTCTGCGCGATCCTCTTCAATAATATCCTCTGCGTCTCAATCGGGCTCAAATTGATAAGCAATATAGACGACGTCATTGTTTACAATATAACCGGAGCACATGCCGCTATGTTGAGGGGGACGTTTAGACGCACGCTAGAGGCGGTTTAGCCAATCACAACACACTGGGCCAGCTAATCAATCAGAGCCCATCGTGTATTTCTGAGGGAGGGGCTTCATAAAAGCAGGAAATGATCAGCGCGTTCAGAGAAGGGACAGAACGGTGTGGAATAAAGGTAAATTATGTGAAAAATAATGAATTTTTGAACAAACAAAGCATTAACACACGTTAGACTGCACCCCATAAACACAATCAAGCCTATAAAAAAAAACAGTCAACCACCCCTTTAAAGGTTTATAAATTGAAGCCAATAACTAAAACACCCCTTTGCACACCTGAAAGGCTGCTGGTAGCCATTAGTACAAACACTACCGTTCAAAAGTTTGAGATCGGAATTCATTTTTAAATGTTTTCGAAAGAAGTCTCATATGCTCACCAAGGTTACATTTATTTGATCAAAAATACAGTAATATTATGAAATACTAAAAAAATTAATATATAATTTTTTATGCAAAGACTTTTTATTTTAATATATTTTAAAATGTCATTTTAAAAGTGTGATGATAAAGCTGAATTTTCAGCACCCATTAACCCAGTCTTCAGTGTCACACAATCCTTCAGAAAACATTCTAATATGCTGATTTGGCACCCAATAAACATAACTTATTATCAAGCTGTTAATATGCGGTACATTTTCAAACGGCCATTTATTTGAATTATAAATCTTTTGTAATATTAAAAATGTCTAGTGTCACTTGATCAATGTGATGCGTTCATGAGGAATAAAATAAAACATTTCTTGAAAAAAAAAAGTAAAATCATAATTACCCCAAACTTTAAACGAGTAGTGTATAGGAATAGAAGTCCCACACACTGCGATAGCTTATAAAAATCCAAAGAGTCCCCTTACAAAGCCAATGACAGTGTAAAAAAAAAGTTACTTTAAAAGGAAAATTGTTCAATTCTACATCGTGGTGAGTTATTTTATATAGATTAATTTAAAGAAAAAAATAAAAATAGCTAGGCGTGGGGGGGACATGAGCGGTTAGTAAAATTCTGCATTTCACCAGCCACTGTGGCTTGTCAGCAAAAAAAGTTAATTTCTAACCCTGGCGACAACCCTACTCTACAGTAACAGGTTTCATAATGCAGAGACAGAATGTGCTAAAATTCATCTCAAGCTGCATATCTATCTCCCCTAATACTGTATTAATATTTTTTGACCTTGATGAATTATCTATTCTTACTGACAGCACTTATTGATATTTCTTAAAAGCGTTGGCTAATGGAGTTCTATTGAGATGACTAAATGAGTTGCCGCCGCCTGGATTAGCCTGGTCTCATCTCTCTGGCACAGCTAGAATTATCATAGAGAACAGACGTGTGCGTGCGCTGGGTCGTAAATTCCTGCTGCCGACATCTCAGGGGGGGTGTGGAGAGATGGAGGGCGATGACTGCACACAGACCTACATTCACCCCAGCCACGCTTGGCATATGTGCAAATGCACAAATATAGCAGCGCGCACTTCAGAGACAAAGGATCTCTCTAAAATAATAGTCGATGGCGGTCGGAGTGAGATTCACGCTCTTCCATCTATTAAAAGAAACACTCGTATTGCTGTTATACAATTCTTAACACCAGCTCCATAGATCTGTTTTCCCATCAGTGCATGCTCTTCCGCCTATGAGATGCTTCTGTGCTGCGATATCCTGAAAGCCATTTTCCACATCACATAGGCATAGTGCCTCAGCCTGTCTCGCATCTAAATGCAAGCACTTTCACAGACTGACCAGCATGCCTTTGAGTTCAGCTATATCTTAACTTAAAAAAAAGCAATAGAACTGTATCCAATTATCTAACTTTTCATTACTCTGCTTAAACGAACACTAACACACTACAGAATGCATATTGGCCCATTGTAAACTGACATACAGCTAGATCCCCAAAATAATAGCTGTAATAATGCATGATATAGAAATGGAATGTGGCAATTAGCAGCCATCACTGAGAACAGCGGTGGGTCGCCTCTTTCCACGAGGCTTTTGAAAAAAGGCTACATTCCAGCAAAATGGAAAGCCGACTCACGGTAAACGTGTCAGGGCAGCAACCTTGTACAGCGATTTCAGTAAATTCAGTGAAAAACATAGAAATCCATTTATGTCGTCTGTCCACCATGTAAAATGTGTACGGAGGGGGGTGTGGAAAGAAAAAAGAAAGGCTGATGTCAAAAAAGGCATTACAGGTGCTAGCAAGCAATTTAACTTGCAGCCATCTTCCCAGGTACCACGGACAAAGTGTGAGCACGTTTCTGGCAAGAGAATAAAAAGGTTCCTTTTAAATGAGTAAAAGCACCACATTGACCCTCAAACTCACCTCATATATCTGCAAATACAAATCTTTTCAGCGGAAATAGCATTACGCTTCTGAAGGGAAGAAAACTTTAGGTAATAGGATTGATAAACATGCAAAAACTCTCCTGCTCTATAATCCAGACAACAATGGGGTGCAAGTGTAGAGAGCCACATGTTTGATTTGTTATTTTGATTATAGTTATCAAATAAAACCTGCATCTAAAAACATATTTTAAGATGATTTTCAAACTTACAAAATCATGTGTTGTTCTCATATCTACACTAACATAAATATCCGTTTTACAGCACAGCAAAAGAGGGTGGTGGGTGTGAAAATATGCTCACCCACAGATAGACACACACACACACACACACACACACACACGCACGCATGCACGCATGCACAGGGTCGCGTCTCGCACGGATATGAACCACATACATCTTGTCTGCCTGCAATAAAGCTGTGCTACCGATTCTATTGCCAATAAATGTCAACTGATTGGAAAGCTCATTCTAATATCAATTTCCATCTCCGCTTTTTAAAAGGCAATCAGCACGGCTTCATCTCTGTATATCATATGCTCCTTGAGATGGTGACACAGCAATGGCTCTCTCCAACATAATGGACTTCTATCAAGGCACCTGGCATGAATAATACAAGCCATGAAAGGCAGTTTTTTTCCCTCATCTATGGCCTGCGTGGCTGGATCTGGCTGGGTGAATATCAACACACTTCCTTCTCACACTTGTGTCTGCAAAAAGAGTCTTTATTTTCTTGTGTGTAGAGAGACAAGATACTGTGTCAAATATTAATGGTCATAAACAGATCTGAATGGTGCTTTGCAAAATAGCAGCGTGGCTGTTTCTTTGATATTTTCGCAACATTCCTTGGCGAGGAAAGGAAGAAAAAAAAAAGCCTTGACAGCATAAGAAATTAGAATAATTTCACACATTAACCTTGGCAGTCTCCTCTGACTAAATTCAGGGCTGATTCGGTACACTGATTGAATTTAAGTGGAGGGACGTCACTCGTGTGCATGCAAATGTCTCTGACGGGCAGAAAGCAAATAATGACAAATTAACTGACGCTTACAGCACATCGGCTCTTACCTTCCAACCGCTGCCGGCTTCCCTGTAATAGGGGAAATTGTCACAGATCCACTGGTAGATCTCGCTCAGTGTCATTTTCTTCTTTGGCGAGCTGTTGATGGCGAACGTGATGAGGCTGGCGTAGCTGTACGGTGGTTTGCCGTCCTTGTGCTGCTGCACCTCTTCCTGGTCCAGTGTGGTGTTGGGGTCCAGCAGAGCACTCTTCTTAGCCATGCCCGGCCCATGAGTGCTCTGGGCATCCGATTTCTGAATGGCCGCTCGCATGGTCAGCTGTGGCAGCCAGTCCATGGAGGTCAAGCTGCTCTCCAGCTCCGACGTCATGGTGGCAGGTCAAGTGGCGGCAACGGCGGCGGCGAAGGAGGGGTAATGATCCGGTGCGGCGAGAATGCAGGGGCTCCCTCAGATCACGGTTTTTGTCGGCGTCACTCAAAAACAAAACCTGCAGAGAAAAGCGAGAGAGGGGATCATTATATTGCCCGACACTGTCAGGATATGAGCGATCACTTCTGAAGCGTGCCGACACTTCAATAGTTAGAACCACTCCAGCTGGAACCAATGTCATTTTAATTAGCACATTCAAACAGGCAGCGTTTCTCTTTGGAGAGAAGCTCCAGAACAGACGCTGATCTGCAGACAAAAAAAAAATAAAAAAAACACAGACTGGCCAAGCCGTCTGGCCCACCTCCTACCTCCGGCCTGCACCCTGCAGCTGACTCACACAACTGTAATCTGAGCCGCAAACTGAGTAAATACTGCGGAATTGTTTTCACAACTGCCAGCCAAATGGGGGAACGGTTCACAAAGAATTCCAATTCTCCAGTAGCGTAACCCTTTCTTTCTCCCTCTACCCTTCCCCCTCTCCATGTTTCTCCGTTGTAAACAGGCCTTAGTGTCGTCGTCGTGCGGCATGGTCTCTTATTCCTGTTTGTGGCTGCACCCTACACCCAACAAACAACCTTGTGTTTTAGGCACGCTGCCCTCTCTGGCTTAAAATAGTAGCAAAAGCGTGAGGCCCGTCCCGTCACATAGGTACATGGTCAGGCGGCATAATCCATCTGCACTTTGCATAGAACGTCTTATCGTGAAAATGACAACACATCTGGAAGGCACCAGGGGAGGGAATATCCCACATATTATTCAGACGAACCTCGGTTTAAAAATACCTCCCCTGTTCTCTCGAGAACCTCATTGAAATTCCTCTAGAAAGGCAGAAAGCGAGCACGAGCCTCTGAAATCTGATGAATGAGATGTCTGTGAGGCCAGTGCTATGACAGACACTCTTTTTTCATTATTCGGTCATTTCCATAAAAGTGAGTCATGACCCTCTAATTTAAAATATTTTTTCCAGCGCAAGGATGAGACCCTCTGATCCAGCTGTATGAAGTGCAAACTTAAAATTCAAATTTAGCATCCTCGCCATTCACGTGCAGGAAATGAGCGCCTTTGGGCATTGCTAATTAAATTAAACCAAATCTATGCGCAGTGGACTCCTCCATTTCTCATGCATCTGATCTGATTTTCACATAGATTGCCGAAATAAACTGCACTGACAAACTGAAACCTCTGCATGTTGCAACTATCAGGCAACCACCCCAAAAGCAATGCCAGGCAGTCAGCAGCAAAATAAATGTGAAAAGTAAGGCAACCATCCATCCATGTACTGATAATATAAATAGCCTGAACATGCTTTTGGATAAAACTGTTTACCAAATGCATAAATGTAAATGAAAGGTTAGCCAGTGTCTGAAGGTTTTCAGAGTCACAATATCAACACTGATATCAAAAATCTCTACAAAAGGGTAGATGGCATTAATTAATATTCTGTGGTGACACGGTAATATCACCTAAAACTATTTTAAACAGAATTTTACTTATTTTTTCATAACGAATGCAACTTTTATGACTTCAATTTATACTACCTGAGAACCATTTAAAATGAAATGGTGAAAGCAAAAACATGGTGACAAATTGTAGTATTTTTTTTTTTTTATTAAAAAAAATATATATATTATTCAAAATACATTAACCCAAACACGACGTTGATTCAGACAAAAAAAATAAAAAATCAGCTCATGGATATGTTGGATAACAACAAGAGAATTTGCACACTTTGCCCTCATCAAATATGAGCATCTATGCATCTGAAAGAATAAAGACTACACAAGAATCACCAAAGCTAACTGTAGCAGATAAAACTGTGGGCAGCATAGTTGGAATCACTCAGAAAAACTTTGAAATATTGATCAAAATAAAGGAGTTGGATATCAAAAACAAAAGCATCAGATATAAAAAGCAGCAACAAAAGAACTGATGCAAAGTTCAAAACTTTCATATAAAGTTTCATCTAAAAAGAAGTCTGATTTTGATGCAACGATGCTAATATACTTCAGGTGAACTTTTAAAACACTTATAGTTCTTAATAGCAAAACAGCTGATTAAACGTTCATTTGGACTTGGGATAAATATTTTATTATTCGTGAGGCTGTTCATGCCAAATGTGCATAATGCACAATGTATTTTAAGGTTTTGACTAATAAACTAATACAGTACAAAAATGCCAAATGATGCACACTGAATGAGGCATTCTGTGAACTTAATATTCACATCACCATTCCACAAACCACAGAAGTATCCATGCAAAAATTCTGAATGATGAAATCTACAGATAAAGGTTCAAGTCTTAAGCATCACCTACTTGCCACAGGGCTGTTGCCATGCTGACTCGATGCACATCACCCAGTAATGCACTGCTCTCAGGAGCACTGCTGTGGTAATTAGCACACCTCTGCAGTGCCAGGCAGTAAAATGCATATATATACAGTGGGTACGGAAAGTATTCAGACCGCCTTAAATTTTTCACTCTTTGTTACATTGCAGCCATTTGCTAAAATCATTTAAGTTAATTTTTTTTCCTCATTAATGTACACACAGCACCCCATATTGACAGAAAAACACAGAATTGTTGACATTTTTGCAGATTTATTAAAAAAAAAAAACTGAAATATCACATGGTCCTAAGTATTCAGACCCTTTGCTCAGTATTTAGTAGAAGCACCCTTTTGATCGAATACAGCCATGAGTCTTTTTGGGAAAGATGCAACGGTTTTGTTGTAAATAAAGTAGGCTTCTCTTATTATATATTTAAAAAGTTGCATATGTCCTTAGGAAGCAAAGCACTTGTGACTGATGTTTTGGTTTTTACTGAGGGTACTTCAGGATGTGCTTAATGTTAAACAGCTATTAAGCACAATAAGCCACAAGAAAGATCTCAATGCATTACTTGCACTGCCTGATGCACTTGAGGTGCGAATGCACAGAAAGCCGCCTCTCTCAGACATCATGTGATCCTTCAGTTCTCTTTAGTGGCATATTGTGCTTGAACAGTCAGAAAGACAAAGAATTATTTCAAAATATCTGTCTAGGTAAGTATTCAGGTAAGCACAATTGGTTATGTCTTAAGTGAACAGAAACAGTTGAGGGAAAAATCTGATGCAGTGTTTCCCACAGACTTACAGTCTATTTGTGGTAGCACTTCCCCCGGGGGAAATATAGGATATATAAAAGCTGACAGGCTGACTGATTGAAAATGCAAATTCATTCTCTGCCAGCAGGAGGAGCTTCAGGAGCTGCAGAAACAGCGGTTTCCCCGGTAACAGCTGTAAACAAAGCAGGGATGCACTCATTAATGCTGCTTTATCAGGCATTATAGGAAAGATTAAATGAAAATGACATCGAAACTTTTCTAAAGACAGTAAGTTCCCTTCAAAATACATTCATATAAAAACACCCGCGCCGCATTTGGACTTTGAAACGTGCAGTGCTCATGTTTATTCAACAAAGTCAAAACCTTTTGGAAAATCTATTTGTGGCGGTCAGTTTTGTTATTGTGGTGGGCCACCACAAATAAACCAATAGGGATGTAACGATTCACTCAACTCACGATTCGATTCACGATTTTGATTTCACGATTCGATTCACAATTTATTTATTTTTACAAAATGAGATTTAAGACAAATTATAAATTAAATGTGTCCTTTTATTATTGCTTGGACAAAATGCTGCACATTTCTTTGTGAAATTGAAATATAACACTACAATAATTTACTAATATAGCACTTGCACTATTATTGATCTTTTGTTGGTTTTGATTGCTTCTATTGTCCTCAAGTCGCTTTGGATAAAAGCGTCTGCTAAATGACCAAATTTTAATATAATATAAATGTAAATAACAAAACTAAATAGAAATTTTAAAACAAGCCCCAAATCAAATAAATAACACAAATAAAATAAATCTCTTCATATAAACAAAAGGCTTTGTCTGTGCTCTTTCCATTTAAAATTAGAGGCAACCACTGCATTTTAATCATGATCCAAACAAAGATGCTGCATACATGGAACATGAGCAGTTTTAATCTAAATTAGATTGTATAATTTCAAAATGTAAAGCAAAAACAGAATGGTTTAACTTCAGTTTTGTGAAACTATACATAAAAAATATCTGCATGAAACAGCAGATGAGCTAAATGAGACGCAGATTCACTCTCTGCCAGCAGGTGGTGCTTAAAGTGTTTCCTTGGTTTCCGCTGTAAACAAAGCGGCGCTGCACTTATGAACTTTAATATGCATTATACAGAGGCAAGATGAAAAGAAAAAATACCATCTAAACTTTTCTAAAGACAGTAAGTTCCCCTCAGACATCCATTCTTATAAACTCCTACCCCTTAATGAATCGCGATTTGCTTAGCATCTCAACCGATTTGAATTGTCACATATTTTCAACCGGCTCGCAGTTAATTGTTACATCCCTACTGTGATGTATAACATTATATCTACTCAACACCAAATCTCAAATTTTTTATTTTGTTTATATTTTTCTGAAGATAGACAAAAATGTATAGCAATGAAACCCAAAATATGAAATGCCATGGATGTCCACTGTTTTGTAGTGGGGGGTCAAAATGACAATTTTCACCCGAGATTTGGAGCCAAATTAAAAATTACTTCACAAAGTCAGCAGCATCATGTTATTTTCACACAAAGATTGGTAGGTCTGTTAGTAAAACCTGTTGACTAGCAATCTTTGTTGCATTACATGCCAATAGTGATTGTTCAAAAATGGGAAAAATGTTTGCAGGCCTGTAACTCCTGAAATATTTACAGGCCTGAAATGTTACAGATGTCTTAATGCCATTTTAGATTTTGGGTTTTAACAAATTTTTCTTTTGGTGTCTTAATTTTTATGGCACTATCTGCTCCCATTCCAGCAATATTGGAATCTCAATATGAATCTCAATAGAATCTTTCTGAAGTTATCTTTACCCTCCTGTTATTTGGCTATGAATCTCATGAGAAAATTGTCATTTTGACCCCCTCCCCCATCTACAAAATAGTGGATTACTCAGTAAATATACATCCATGACATTTAGTATTTTGGCTTTC